GATGGGAGTGTCAGAGACAGTGCGATTGGCATAGGAGAGAGCGGAGTTTAGGGCTGTTTTACACAGGGTCGCTATGAGTCTCAGGTGACTCGATGGCACATAACAACAACAACAACAATCTCTTAAACTTGAGTGAATTGCTGAGTTCTTCTTATTGTTACATGCTATAGAGCTGCCTGCAACTCATAGTGACCCAATGTACAATAGCACTGAACTCTGCCCTATCCAGAGCCAGTCTCACTGTCGCTGACAATATTTAAAAAAAAAACCCAAAAAATAAAAAGTCAACCCTGTCTTGCAGGGCAAGTCCTTTGGCCTATCTGGATTTTATTCGACAAGTCTTGGATTCTCTGAAGTTTAACTTTACTGGCTACATAAAAAGATTCATTTTAAGACAATGAACTTCATCCTATAAATCAGTTATTTAATGATATCTCAGTAGGGTCTTTCAGTGGCTCTTTTTTTCCATTAGGATAAATTGATTTGTGGTTGGATCTTGAAATATGACTAGAGAAGATAATGATTAATATTAGTTGAGAACTACATGTGTGCTTCTAACTGTTTTACTTCCAACAATCTGTTTAATTCTTGTTCAATCCTGTGAGGTAGGTACTTGTATTATCCCAATTTTATTTTATTTTTTGTGGTTGTTTGGTGCCATTGAATGAACTATGACTCATAGTGACCCTACACACAATAGATCTGAACCTTGCCATCCTCTGGATTGTCCAAAGAATAAAGGAAGCCTAAAGAGACTTAGTAGTTGCTCCAAAGCTCATAGTAATTATGTAATGGAGCTGAAATTTGACACGTGTTCCAGAGTCAGTCTTCTAATCACTTCCTTATATGATGATGAGACAGGTTTTGTAAAAAAAGATAAATAAGCCCACATCTTATAGTAAGCTTTGTAAATAATACTTCTTGAGGTTTGAGACAATAGTTTATTTTCCTAGTATTCAGAAAGATTTTCATATATATATATATATATACTCCCCCACCCCCATCATTGAGCTGATCACTCCTTGGTGTGCACTTAGCATGAACCTCTTCCTTTCTACTCCCATCCATTTTCTTCTCCCCATCCTCATCTCTTCCACACCATAGTTCTCCTCAACTCCCTTCTCTATTTCTCTTTCCTTCCAAGAAGTGAAAAGAAGAAGGAAAGGCCTGCCCTCCTAGCTACTTCAGTACAAGGATAGCAATCTGGAACCTAGGTCCCTTTATCTACTATGAGAGTCCTTCACATTTTCTTTGCAATTTTGAATTTCTGAAACAAAAGTTGGAAGCTAAAGTCAAGATAACTCCTCGGGCTTTCCTTAAGAGGAAAAACTAAGGTTATTATCTCAAAATGGAGTTGCCATCTTAGGATATTATTCAAGCACAAGAGTCTTGAGAATATTAATAAACATTTGGAATCATTAAGGGAAACAAGAGTAGACCTCAACAAGGGAAAGTAATATAACGTGACAGTTGTGAAAAGAAGTTAGAGACCATGGATTTGAAGTGGTACAGATACATGGGGTTGCTAAAATTGAGAACTAAGGAAAAGGATATTAATATTGGTATCCACTTCCTTAACAGCATACCGCTGGAAACTCTAGGAACATTGATAAATGTCGATAGTTGTAGAGGGGCTTCAGGCCTTTTGTTCATGGGCTCGTGATGAGTTGTGCTCGACTCGAAGGCAATCAATAACAACAATGTTCAAATTAATAGGTTTCTTACTTTTGTTAGCATTCCATTTGCAGACTTGGGTAGACTTGAATTATCAAGAAAATATTTTGGTAGTGTGTGTTTTCTTTTTCATGATTAAAAACCCAACTGCACCTTCACTAGGAGGTCTGACATCATGCTAGGTGTGTTTCATCAATACTTCCACTGGCCCTTTCACCTGGTGCTCTGTGGTCCCACTTTAACCACCTGAAGTGTACCTTTCTTCAAGGTTTGTACAATGGTAGCCCTATAACTTCACTTAGTTGCAGTAATGAAAAAAAAATCACTAAAGTAGGCCATGCTGTTTAAGAAAAGTATTGTTTAAATGCTTTTTTCTATTTCACCATTCTCAAGACATGGAACAATAGATTGAATTAGACTTGAGGATTGAATATTTTGGAGAAACTTACTTTATAATAATTAACGTGTTTAGTCACATGATTTTTATGTGATATGCTTTTCTTTAAGAGTAGACATCCGTAGAAAATCTATATATGTCCTTTCTGTCCTGAAATTCTATGATTTCTTAAAAAAATATTTAAAACATAATTAAGACACTAAGATTGACAAGTTATGGTGAAATTTGTCCAAGTTCTTTTTAACATCAACAACCAGGGAGATCTAATTAATAAAGTAATTACCTTTACCTTTGCCCCTTAGGAAATCTGACCCAGGTTACTCTAGAGAAAAGTGGTTCTTATCACACAACAGGATAAAACTGTTAGATGAGGAGGTTACTCATGCACTGAATCACCCCAGGCTTCTTTTGTTCTTCTGTCAGATACATCTTTTATCTCCTGAGAGACGGCATTTATAGAGTCCATCTCCCAGTGCCATCTGGCCAGGACTCAGAAGCAGTGCACATTGTGGAGAGTTGTACATTAAAGGACCTTGTTGTGAAGCCACAGTCCAAGCGCATTATTTACTTCAACAACACCGCCCACACCTTCATGTCAACATTTCTGGATGGCTCTGCTTCCCATGTTGTCTTACCTCATGTCTCCTTTGCTGACGTGAAGAGCTTTGCTTGTGAAAACACCGACTTTCTGGTCACGGATGGCAAGGCTGTTTTCCAACAGGATTCCCAGTCTTTTAACGAGTTCATTGTGGGCTGTGACCTGAGTCACATAGAAGAATTTGGGTTTGATAACTTGGTCATCTTTGGCTCATCCACACAGCTGCACCCTCTGCCAGGCCGCCCTCAGCAGCTCTCAGTGCTGTTTGGTTCCCACCAGGCCCTTGTTCAGTGGAGGCCTCCTGTCCTTGCCATAGGAGCCAGTGAGTACTCCCTCACGCTACCCACAGGGTGTGGTGGGGTGTGGTGGTGGTGGTTACCCGTTGTTGTATGTCTTCTAATCAGAACCGACCCATAGCTGACACTCTAGCAGGTTTCAGAGGTATTTAATCAGATGGGAGGAAATTGCCCATCTTTCTCCCTTAGAGCAGCTGGAAGATTTGAACCCTGTGCTTTTGGGACTGCAGTACAGCTTCTTACCACTAGGCCACCAGCACTCCCTTAAAGGAGAACAAAGTTTCAGCTGCTTAACATTGTGATTCACTTCCAAGAATTCACATGCAATTACTCAGTCATCAACTAGAAGTGGTTCCTAATTCTGCATTTAATTACTTTTGCATTAGGAAAATGTCAAGATTTCATATGTATTCCAATAGAATAGTTCAAATCTGGGCACTGGAAACAGAGTTGACCATATTAGCCAAGGGGATAGGACAGTAGGTTTAGAGTTTGAATGCACTGTAATATGCATGAGACTGAGCCATTATCTAGACTTATTTAAACGAAAGCCAGTCTAGAGAGGCAGTATGTTTGCAAGGTGAGCATGTGGGTTCTGGAGTCAGTCCAAGTGGATCAAAAAATCTATTCTTGAAATTTTTTAGCAGAATGACCCCGGGGCAAGTTCCTTAACCACATTCTGACTCAGTTTCTATAACTTGAAAATGGGAATATGGATCGTATATTTAGGTATATTTTTCAAAGAGATTAAATGAAATCCATGTATAGAACATAAAAAGCAATAGCTAGGAGTTGGCAAACATTTTCTGTCAAAAAGGCGGCAGATAATATTTTTATTTTGGGGCCATATGGGCTCTATCACAACTGATCAACTCCACCAAAAGTCTGAAAGCAGTCATAGACCGGATGTAAGCAAATGAACTTCAACACAACTTGACAAAACAGGGAGCAGACTGGATTTGGATTGTGGGCCACATTGACTGATCCCTGGCCTAGAAAATAGTAAGTATTCAATAAACATTGGCTCTTTGCTTTAAGCCTAAGTTAGTTACAGCAATTTAAAACAGTTGAAAATCAAGAAGCAGCTTCTTTTTTTGGATCATTCCATTTTCTTGGAGGGAGGCGCTAGCTCAACATTGGGGTTTAGACTTAGGAACTTGTCATTAAGCACCTGTTTGCTCACAGCCTCGTTATAGCTAATGGATTTTACAGAGAAGGCCTCTGGCCATTCTGTGTAGCAGTTTGGATGGAAAATAGTGGCCTCCTATTTGAAAAACAGTATTTTTTGTAGTATGGGATGGATAGCCACTGTCCTAGGCTGTCAAACTATGTTGTGAAACTAACTCCTATGAGCAGTGCAGTAACAGTTATTGCTACTTAATCATCAAGAGGCTATAAATTATTTTTTTAAATTTTTATTGTGTGTGTGTGTGTGTGTGTATGTGTGCCGTCAAATCAGATCTGACAGGTACAGGAGGAGATTGTCCCTCCTTCCCCAGCAGAGCATCTGGTGGACTTGAACCGCGTACCTCTGGGATTGCAGTGCAGCTTCTTGCCACTAGGCCACCAGAGCTCCCCGGCTATAAATTAATTTATTGACAATTCTTTGCTTGCCCCTATTGATGTCATCTTAGCAATATCGTTTCGTTCTCTTAATTAGGCCCTTCTGCCTGGCAGAACTGGACCTATGAGGTGAAAGTGTCAACCCAAGATGTCCCTGAAGTCACTCGGTTTTTCTCTAACATAAGTGGGACTATGCTTAATGTGCAGGAGCTGCAGAGTGCTACAAAATACAGCTTTGCTGTGAGAGCAAGTTCTCACAAGGGACCGGGTCCCTGGTCAGAGCCCTCAGTGGGTACTACCCTGGTGCCAGGTGAGAAAAAGGTCTTGATTTGAGGAGTTTTTCTGACAAAAGGCAGCTTACCTCATGTGACCTTTAAAACTTGAAGCTCAATTTTTTTTAAAAATCAGTATGGGGGTGCACTGACATCTTCAACATGTATTTATTTTCCAGTATCGTTGTTGGCAGATGCCTTTGAGCAACACTATAAACAACACACTGACAATCTGGCCCTATGCTGTGCCATCCTCATGATCTCCACCAGCTTGCTGTGTGGTGTTGTGATACTGGAGGTTATACCACCAGCAAGGTCACCTGTGGTAGACACATTTCAATAGAGTTTCCAGGTTAAGATAGAATAGGAAGCAGAACTGACTATTCACTCGTGAAAGAACTGGCCCTCACCCTATAAATACCACGTTCTGATATTTGAAACAAATGAACAAACAAACTCATTACCATTGAGTTGAAACCAATTCTTAGCTGACCCTTCAGCAGGTTTCTGAGGTTGTAAACTGCACTGGAGGAGAGTGTCCATCTTTCTCCCAAAGTCCTGATAGTGGATTTGAAGCATCAGAAATGTGTCACTGTGAGGTTAGCAGTGCCACTCTCTATAGACTATGCTATCAGAGTTCCAAGAATAAAAAAGGAAGAAAAAAATTTTTTTTAAAAAAGGAATTGTGGGAGAGAGGGAGGAGGAAAGGTCATTGACATTTAATTTACATTTCTAATCAAGCATTTTTGGAGGCAGGAGTGGCATCCACTTTCTAAACAACGTGCCTCCAGAAACTCTATGAACTTTGATAAATGTCAATAATTGTAGAGAGGCTTCGGGCCTTTTCTGCATAGGGTTGCTGTGAGTTGTGCTCGACTCAAAGGCAACCAACAACAATAACAACAATCAAGCATTTAAATCTTTCCAAGATGCTATTGTAGACTCAGTATCATTTTCTTCATGAAGTTCCTCCCTCATGTGGCTTACCAAGAAATGGCACTTCTTGAATTCTGAAGCTCTTTGTGAGAGAAGTTGAGGGGCTGTGAATTATGCTGAATTCCATTCTCTCAAATAAAAGGAAAGAAAGAATAACTACCATTTATTCTGCTGTTGAAATCACGAAGGCGCTGAACGCTCTGAATGGGATCACGGCAATTAGTAGTGAGCAACATAAAGAAGAAAAAAAAATCATCCTATGACTATAACCACAGAAGCAAAATAAGACATTTCTCTTCACGTTCATGATCAAATATTTACATAAAAGTTAGAGAGTATGGCTATATGATGGATAATTCTATTAAGCAGATTCAATGGAATATTTTTTCCTTCTACGATATTTTAAAATTGTCTATATTCGTTTATTATACAAAACAATCTTAGCGTATAGAATGTATACCTGAAAGGATATACTTGCTATATTGTTTTTTTTTTAATATCTCTTTTAAAACTAGCTATAGAACCACCATTTATCATGGCTGTGAGAGAAGATGGGCTTTGGAGTAAGCCTTTAAATAGCTTTGGCCCAGGAGAATTCTTATCTTCTGAGATAGGAAACGTGTCAGGTAAGCAGCAAGACTCTTGTTCACATGGATGGCAGGCTTCATAGGAATCTCAACACATTCAATAAATCAAAAAGAACTGAATGTGTTTGTTATTGGGTCAATAGGAAATAGGAAAACATATTGACTAACTATATATAAGTATTGACTACATAGATAAGAAGAAAAAATTTCTCAAGTGAAAATGCTATTTATCATTTCACAAAATTTGACCTTATTAACTGACTTTCTCCTCTTCAAGAAAACATTGACATAGACTTCTTATCTATTTCAATCTATCGTTGTTGTTTCATAGTAATAGTCTATCAAGTTCCACTAACATGATTACACTCAAGCAGTTAACTCCTCAGTTTGCACTAATACTGGAGCAAGGAACTACTCATAAAATACTAAATAAGTTGTAAGAAATAATTGTTGACAAAGATTATTGTGCAATGAATGTTTATTTTGCCTAAATGATATCATAATGGAAAAAATATATTTGTTGGTAGAATAGCAATATTCTTGAATGAATAGACATCTGTAATTCTCTGTTTCATTTATTTGCTCTGCAATTAAAAGTACAGCAGCATTTCTGAATTACATAGGGGGTCATAGGAGGAGTGTGATAATAATGGTAAAAACACTGCTTTAAGCTGTCTTGAATCTGAGGTGCCCTCATTTCCAGCTGTGAGGCCTTGGGCAGATAAGATAATCTCAAGTCTTGTGTTTGCTATCTCAAAAATTTGAATAATTCCCATTGCAGAACATTATTGTAAGAATTATGTGAGCTATGCAAAGTGCCTGAAATAGTGTTTGATATAGTGAAATTGCTCAGTGAATATAAATTCCTTTTACATGTCCTTCCCAAGAGGTTAAGATTAATACTCCCTACATTTTTAATAAATATATATACAATATATACTTTAATATATATTGAAGCCCATATGTGACTGTTGACTTGTGTTTATGTTGGCACATGTGAGAAGTAACTTCTTAATAATTCACTTCATTTTGAGACATGGATTGGTATAATAACCGCCTCTACTACAGCGACATGAAAGGAGACGTTTATGTGTGGCTGTTAAACGGGACAGATGTCTTGGAGAATTCTCTCATACCCAACATAGCAGGAGCGGGGACATTAGCTTTTGAGTGGCTGGGCCACTATCTTTACTGGGCTGGAAAGACGTATGTGGTAAGTTAAAACTCAGAATTCTCAATAGTTTAAGACAATGCTCACCCTCTTCAGTGACTTGCTTATTGTTTTCATGGTGTTTTCCCACACTTTTGTATAATTTATTAAGCATTTATGTATGAATCCACTAATATTTTAATGGCATTAAACATGCTCACCTGTGAATTGGGGTCTTAATAGGAAGATGCTACGTTCCAAAATCACAATTAAAGACTTAAAGGGTGAAGGGTCGGAAAAGGAGAGAAAGACCTTCAACCAGGTGCATTGCCACGGTGACTGCTGCAATAGGGTCTAGTGTGTCAGGAAGTGTGGGGATGGCACAGGACAGGATGGGTTTCAGAGCCACTGTTCATAGGGTTGTTAGGAGTCACCTTCGACCCGATGGCACCTTAAAGCAACAACAACATGCAGTGCAGGAACTATTTTCAAAACTGTGGGGAGGACAAAGAAAAACCAACAAAGGATAGGAAGCACCCCCAGGGCTGGTAAGTATATATCTATTACCAGACATGATGGCGCAAAGCGGAGAAGATGAAGAACATGGCAACGGCTATTGCTGTAGGGGAGTAACTAACATATGTTATGACTTTAGGTATAGAAAACCAGTTACTGTCACAATTAATAGTTTGAAAAGAAAAGAGCTAAATGAATCCATACTCCAACCCCTCTTTTCTCCTGCCAACTCTTCCTCTGCCCATGTTCCCATTGGCCAATCCCCACAGGAAGCCAGAGAACCAGGGATCTCAGCTGATCAGTCCACAGATGTCAGCATCCAAGGCCACAGAGTAGAATGGTGAGGGGTTTTGTTGTTGTTGTTATTTCTCCATGTTTTAGTGGGATACTTGGCAAGTATAAAAATAAGGCCCAAACATATTGCTGTCGCTATGATTCCAATGCACTGTATGGACCATTTACACCTATGGGCCAGAGTAGAACTGCCCCACAGGGTTCCTAGTTTTTATAGAAGCAAAAGGATACATTTTTCCCCAAAAGAGCCACAGGTGAGTTTGAATTACCAGCCTCTTAGCAGCACGGAAGGAAGATAGATGGGCAATCTCCTCCGCTGCGATTTAATGCCTCTGAAAACTCGCCAGTGTCAGCTATGGGTCAGTTCTTACTTAATGGTGCTCAACAATAACAACAACAGATAGTTGCAAGCTCTAAACCACTGTGCCACCAAGGCTAGTACATAAACCAACCCCCCCAAACTCACTATCATTGAGTCAATTCTGACTAATAGAACCCCTCGTCAAGTTTCTGAGTCTGCAAATCTTTCTGGGAGGAGACTGCCTCCTTTCCACCCCCGCCCCCAGAATGGCTGCTGCATTTGAACTGTTGACCTTTCACTTGGTAGTCTAATATATGAGGTACTATGTCACCAAGGCTACATCTGTGATTGATAGAATAAATGTACAAATTTAGCAGCCTGCTCTACATAAGAAGTATGCATAAATAATGTAGTTGAAAAGAATTAATCACATGAATTATATTTTGCAGATACAGAGACAGTCTGTGTTGACAGGACATGCAGACATTGTAACTCATGTCAAGCAGTTGGTGAATGACATGGTGGTGGATTCAGTTGGTGGCTACCTCTATTGGACCACACTCTACACAGTTGAAAGCACCAGGCTCAATGGGCAAAGTTTCCTTACACTTCAGGAACAGACTTGGCTTTCTGGAAAAATGGTGGGACTTACAAAAAGCCATGATGGTTTAATAATAGTCATTTTATGGGTTCCAAATAGTGCTAATGTTTATCTACAGTAGTACTGTCTCTGCATATTGTCAGTAGTTAAGATTGAGCCTTATTACATGGCATGCCGTTACAGTAAGATCTTTGTATAGTCCACAGTTTCTCTAAGCCCTATTTGACGTTCATAATTGATTTAGTAGATACGGACATACATTCAAATACAATGGAAAAAAATTACATTTTAGTTTCTTATTGCTTTTATTGTGTTGATCACTTCTACAGAGTGTTTCAGAGCTTTTGTTGAGTGTAATCAAGTATTTAATTATTTTCAATCAGTTTTGGATATTAACTGTTCTTTTTTCATTTTTTTTAAGGATATTAACTTCTATAAACCATATGCTGCTGTGTATTAGACATTTCAGCCTCTGTTTTTTTAAAGATAAGAAGTATATTTTATTATAAATTTTCAAATGTTGAGATGATTACAATTTAATCTTAAAAAGCAAGCAAATACCTAAGTCTTAGGGGTTAACCATCTTTAGGATGAAGAGTGATACAAAAATCAATATAAGGGAAATGATTAGCTTGTGCTGAAAAAAATGCAAGTAATGATGATTATCCTACCCCAGAAGGCTGATGTGCAGATCATATGTGATAAGTCAGTGAAGCAGTAACAGTAGTGCCAGACACATGACAAATGTATTATTGTAGCTCTTACCATTACCACTTGGTCTGAAAAACATGCCTCATATTTGAACATCTCTGAAACAAAAGTTTTTATTTCTTTAACATTTAGAAGCAATCCTTACGTTTTTTAACCTGTTTGGCTACCCCATAAATATCCATTTCAGTTTCTTACTCTTAATTCTTGTGATTAGAATAACAATATATGCCAATTGAATGAAAATAGGATTTGCAGAAAACATTGTTGTTAAGTGCCATGCAGTTGCAGGAGACTCATAGCGACCCTGTGAAGGAGAGTCCTCAACACTTGGGTGCCTTTCATCCTCTCTCCAGGTTCATAGGGTTTCCAGAGGCAAGCTATTATGGAAGTGGATGCCACTCCTCCTTCCAAGCATGTTTAATCAGGGAGCTCCACCCCACTCTCTGTCCGCATTGGGTAGCCAACAATTAACACATTTGACACATCAGTGTCACAGTGTTCAGCCTCACAGCAACCACAAGTGACCATGGTACGGCAACTTGTACACTAGGGCTATACGACAGAAAACATTAAGAAGATATAAATCATTCATATTACATCTACTTAAGATATCTCTTAAATATTTTTCCTTTGTTTCCAGTGGTACAATAAAGTTACAATATTAAATAATACATATATGCCATATTATTAATATTTATGTACTTACTGATTCATCAAGTTATTTTATAAAAAGAATCTATATCTATCTATCTATCTATCTATCTATCTATCTATCTATCTATCTATCTATCTATCATCTATCTACCTATCTACCTACAGCAGAGTTTTGTTTAGTTGTACATATGGTGGCTATGAGTTGGAACTGATTCAATGACATCTAACAATAATAATATGACATTTATGTATTATTTATTATTGTTATGTGCTGTGGAGTTGGAACTGACTCATAGCTGACCATTCAGTAGGTATTCAGAGGCAATAAATCCCAGGGGAGGAGATTGCCCATCTTTCTCCCACGGAGATAGCTGGTAGATTCAAACTACCTACCTTTGGGTTTAAAAAAACCACACAGACATTGCTCTGGTACTCCCTGCTTTCAGCCAAAATACCTCTAACATTAGCTACAATATCCACGTCCCCTTCTAAACCCAGCCTGGACTTCTGGTAGTTCTCTGTTGATGTGCTGTTCCAGTTGTTTTTGGATATCTCAGCAGACTCTTGCTTGCGTGTGATATCAATGACATTGTTTAATAATTTCCACACTCTGTTGGATCACCTTTCTTTGAAACGGGGACAAATATAGATCTCTTTCATTCAGTTGGCCAAGGGGCTGTCCTCCAGATTTCTTGGCACAACTTGGTAAGCACGTCTAGGGCAGCATCTGTTTGTTGAAATAGGTCAATTGGTATGCTGTCAATTCCTGGGGCTTTGTGTTTTGCCAGTTCTTTCAGGGCAGCTTGAACTTCTTCCTTCATCACTACAGGCTCTTGCTTGTATGTTGTTTCATCACATTCTTCTTTGTCTGACAATTCCTTTTGGTATAATGACTCTGAACACTCTTTCCATCTTCTTTTAATACTTCCCGGATCATTTAATATTCTTCCCAAAGCATCCTTAACTATTGTAACTAGAGGTTTGAATTTGTTCTTCAGTTCCTTGAGTTTAAGAAATGCTGAGCAAGTTTGGCCCTTTTGATTTTCTGACTCCAGCTCCTTGCATATTTCATTATAATACTTTGTCTTCCTATGCTGTCTTTTGAAATCTTCTGTTCAGCTCTAATATCTTGTTTTCTTCCCAATGCTTTGGCTTATACTTGGACTAGGAGGCAGACATCAGAACAGAGCAAGGAAACACTACATGGAAGGGTATACACCAGGGATGTGTCCCATCTACAGACCTTTTTAATCTATATGCAGAACAGATTATCTGGGAGGCTGGACTATATAAGGAGAAATGTGGCATCAGGATTGGAGGAAGATTCATCAATAGTCTTCGTTATGAAGATGACACAACCCTGCTTGCTGAAACACAGGAGGACCTGAAGTGCTTGCTGCAGAAAGTCAAGGACTGCAGCCTTCAATAGGAAATTGAGGTTCAATATCAAGAAAACAAAGATTCTCAGCAGTGGGCCATTGGCAGCATCATGATAGATGGTGAAGAGATTGAGATTGTTAACAGCTTTGGTTTGTTTGGCTCCACAATCAACACTCTTGGCACCAGGAGCCAGGAAATTAAAAGATGTATTGTGGTGGGAAAGTCTGGTGTTTGAGACCTCTTCAAAGTACTGAAAAGCATAATGTAACACTGGAGACTAAGTTGCGCCTGATACCGGCCATGGTCTTTGCAATCACTTGCTATGCATCAGAGAGCTGGACAATGACTAGGGATGCTAGAAGGAGAATTGATGCCTTTGAGCTGTGATGCTGAAGAAGAGTATTGAATGTACAATGGACTGCTAAGAGAATGAACAGGTTTGTCCTGGAGAGGGTTAAACTAGGTTTTTCCCTGGAGGCAAGGATTCTGAAGCTTCATCTGACATACTTTTGATATGTTGCAAGGAGGGACCAGTCCTTGGAGAAGGATGTCATGTTTGGGAGGGTGGAGGGACAGTGCAGAAGAGGAAGACCCTCTATGAAGTGGATTAATTTAGTGACTGGGGTAGTAGGGTGGGTGTGTCAGAGGCGGTGAGATTGGTACAGGATAGAACAGGCTTTAGGGCTGTTGTACATAGGGTTGCTATGAGTCACAGACAACTTGACAGCATATGACAACAGCCACCACCTTTGGGTTGGTAACCCAACTACTTATTCACTATTATGTATGTGTGTATATGATTTTTT